CTCGTTCGTAACTAAAATCCTCAGCCTAACCCACTGAAAATGTCGAAGTAAGCCCAATATATGAATACTTCCTCCTCTTTTATAGAGGAATAAATATAGCTGTTCTAAACTGTGTCGGGATCAAATCTTCTCACATACCATTTACCTTTACAACAAGAAATTTGATTGGCTCGTTATAGTAGTAACACTCTGCACTAGGTGTTATTCTTGTGGTTTGGATGAGAAGACCTCTGAGGAAAGTTGCACTACCGTACCCCCCAAAATTAAATAAACAAATACCGGTATGTAGAAGGGAGAAATTTACAAGAAATGGCCTTCCAGAGGCCCTGTTAAAAAAGGCTTTTAAAAAAGAGTTACTTTCCAATTATATACTGATTGCTTGAGTCACCACAATGAATACTTTTGATATTGCAGCGGCCCAGGAGCCTGGTTTGGTAACTGTTACATTGAAGTCAAAATTTGGCATACCATTAGGAGAGATTGATATTTTGTATGTGGACGAAGAGAAAGTGCTTGTTCAACGAGTAGTCAATGAGCCACTCTTACAGTGCAAGCTCTTAAGGGAGCTGGAAGGTAAAGCGACAACAGCCGGTGAAGGTGAAACACAAGATTCTGGAAATCTTGGTAAGGCGTTAATTTTCATAACTGAGGGTTTTTCATGGTTCTCATGTACTTTCCATTAGAGCTCAACTGGACTACTGGCTTCTGAATACTTTTGCTTTTCTCATTGGTCTAACGTGTACTAAAAAGGGGGGAATGTCAAATTCAGTGATCTCAACTGAAACAAATAATAGCATACATGTGAGTGTTGTCCAGGTGCTTTTGCTGTTTAATCTTGCTGAAATGCAAAAGCTAAACTGAAGCTTAATATTTGCTTGCCACTTTTAGCTACTTTTGAAGCCAACATCGCAAAGTGCACTGCATTGAGTGACCCCTTCAGTGATGAACTCTAGTCTGTAATCAAGTGCACATGTTAAACACTCTTGCAGATGTCTTGAAATTCGACAAGTGACTCACAGCAAGGCAGTTTAGATTTGAGGCAAGAAACATGAACCAGTGTTTACAGGTCCTGTGTCCAGCTTTTTTTAATTGGTCTTTCAACTGCAAGCTGACTAAACAAATCAAAAGCAAAATTAGCTTCCTGTCTTCTTATACAGCCACCATCATTTAGTGCTAGTCTTTCTCCGTGTTTATGCTGCACAATCAGTTATCATTACACTGTGTAGTAACATTTTATTACTCGTCCTAGATTTCACAAATCCAGTCCATGTGTTACGCCTCTTAATATATGCAGCAGCCGAAAGTGGTGCTCAGCAATTTATTGAAATGATATTCAACTCTTCAGCTGGAAGAGTAGTCTTTGACGCTTACAAGGACAGGCCATTACTGCCAGAGGTTATTGCCAAGAGTCATGGCAACGAGGAGACTGCCCATTACCTTGAAGACATAACCAAAAGGTAAATTTGTTATGACAAAAATCAAAAACTGAAAACTTTCACTGAAAATATGGTAGGTGTAAAGGCCATTTTTAACATTCTTATTTTGTGAAAACCCGCTAAGAATCTACGAAATGGAAGAGTTGTAAAATTTATTATATAACTACTTAGAGATCGATCACAGGCTTGTGTGGATGAAAGATACGACCTGGTTGTATAAGGGTAACGACTAGTGTTAATTAATTTGTTACTTGGCCTGGAGAAGGAACATTAGGGTTTTGCAAAGGGAAACTCTTTTTTCTCTTTTGTTGCTGTCGCTGTTGTTATTGTGTTGTAGTTTCTTGGAAGTATCAGTTTATTTTGCAGTGTGTGTGTGTGTGTGTGTTTCATTGCGTATAAGTGCGTCACTTGCTTATTGTGCACAAATCGGTAAAATTTGATATTCTTTTCTGTGAATGTTCAGGGAAGTAGAGATCTAACCAAAAGAAGGAGTATTTTTTCGTTCCTAAAAGGTTCAAAAGCAGATATTTTTTTAAGAAACCAGCTCTGAACCGAACGACGAAAGTACTTAAAAAAATGAAGGGCGAGTTGAGATATTCTTCTCCTGTGGTACGAATCACAGCAAAGGTGTGTGCATTCTAGTCAACCCCTCTTTTCATGTTCAAGTTGACTACATGTACATCAGCTTGAGTTTATGCAGGAGCTAAATAACGGCATAATTGATAAAAAAGAACTGACAGCATTAATTGTTGGAGGAGATTAGAACAGCAGGTCGGAACAGCTTGGGCACTGATAATTTACAGGAATTTGGTCCTAACTCAATGGATATGTTTGATCTAACAGAAATTCAGAGAGCGCGGCATCCTACAATGTAAGTTAGGTAAATTTACAGATGTATCCAAAGCAAAAGGAATGAAATTAGGATTGACTTCTTGTTATGGCTAAAAGCCTAACAAAAAGTGTTAAAAATACAGAATTTTATCCATGAATAACACGTGATCACAATGCAGTCTATATGGCTTTGTCCTGGGTAAATAAATTCCCCTAGAGGAACTGGGCTTTGGAGATTCAACAACACCCTTGTAAAGGACAGACAAATACGCTGACATGGTTCAAGAAACTTATACTCTATGACACATACCACCAAGTGCCAGATAAGCGTCTGTTATGGGAGTTGATTAAAATGGAGATTAGCAATACAACTATCTCGTATACAAAGCATAAAGCAAATCCAAAGTTCAGTCTTTATTTGAAGATAAAGGGAAGCTTGCTATGTTCAGGGCAAACTGTCACTGGGTGGAAAATGGCGAACAGCCCAAACAAGTATTTCTTTAACTTGAAGAAAAGAAATTATGACAAAAAGACCATAGTTGAACTCCGTCTTTTGGATGAATCTATGACAATGCAATGAAAAGAAATCCTAGACCAAATCGAAGCTTACTTTAAGAACCTGTATTCACCTGAAAATACTTTCTCTCAAGAGGAATACGAGGAATTTATCCAAAATCTAAAATCCCAAGACTTTCAGATGAAGATCGAGATAGCCTAGAAGGCCCTCTAGTGTATGAAGAATGGATTTAGAGAAAGGGGGAATGTGTATGACCGATGCAGATCTTATGTTCAAATCTTTGAGACTCGCATGGATACCTCAACTCCCGACCGCGGGTGACCGAAATTGTTCTACTGTGCCATGTCACTTTTCTTTTAGAAAGCTGAGGATTATGATACAAAGCATATCCAGCAGTTGCCAATCTTTTACAGCAATATACTCGAATTCTTCAAAGAGTTACAATATAATTATGAGTACGATCAAGAAAGCCATTTAGTTTTATTTAATAACAGAGAAATTCTCGTGGATAAGAAACTGTTTATCTCCAGTAAATGGGTAGTGAAAGGTGTTATTTTAATTTAAGACCTGCTTAAAGATGATGGCATTTGCCTCTCATTCCAAGAATTTTCTGACAAATTCGCATGCAACACTAACTTCCTGCAATATCACCAGATCATTAATGCTATACTCGATCAATTACTATTAAAAGCGAGACAAATAGATTCAGTTAACAAAAAAATATTTACAAGTAATGAACATTTTTTTTTTTATGTTAGTAATAATCTGGGAATCAACCTGGACAGAGCGTAATCACGAGACTTTTACCAACTTCACATTGACAAAACCCACACTGGGGGCCACACTGGGCCACACTCCATAAGATGGGGGTGAAAACCTGTCGTTTTAATACATTTTCATTTATTTTCGGAATCAACATTTTGAATGGTACAGCATTTTGAATAGTAAACCATTTCACACTCACATCTGTTCTCTTTAATTCACCCATCTAGTGTCAGATAAGTCATCTTATTTAGCAGTACTTTTCTCCTGTTTCCGTAGCATAATGCGAGTAGGAGCACATGTATCACTCCTCCCCGTAGATGACTGAACTCGATCAGATCCTAGGATACATCTGTCACCATTTTACCAATAAGATAAGGATAGCTCTAGACTCCTAACATCTATAACATTATTGCAAGCATTCTCGGAATTTTAAAAAATCTGCATCCATGAAAGAGGAAGAACCAAACTTTCATATCCGATAAATTAGTACCACAGACATATTTACTCTTTATAAGAAGTTGAATCTGTTCTTTTTCACCCGGTATTTTCCACTGCACAGATTTTCTGAGGAGACCATAACTGGTAAAGAATGCTCTCAGATAATCGATTGGTCTGAACTTGTGAATGCTGCTGAGGCAGCAGAAAAACGGCTTGGTAAGGAAACAACATTGCACTTTCTTTTAGCTAAAAGTTGTGTTTTCACATATCAAGGTCAGTATTTGACTCAAAATGACATTCGCATGATGCTTGTACCAATTTAGAGTTGAGATTTTCAATATCTTTAAGATTCCGTGATTAATCTGTTTGAGGAATTTGCTTGTTTTTCTCAGCTTTGTTGAACAACAGTAAGAACGGCACAAGAATGGTCGTGAAATAATCTGCACTTTGTAATAACACTAAAAAGCGTATTGATTTCTTTATTTATATATCTATAATTAAACAGATCTTACCAGCAAAATAGAAAATGATCAAATTCAAAAGGATATCCCCAAAGAAACCGGTTATTTAGGAGATATCGACACATCGTCCAGTGAATCATTGGAGGGTCAAAGCTCGGATTCTGATGATGATATTTCAGGAACGTCAAGGAAAGGTAATATACTTAAGTTAGACCTTTATAGCAGTCCGTCTTGTATATGCATTTGGCTATATTTTTTTCCTGTCAAGCTCAGGTTTGAGTCTTCTTTGGTCACTGTACTTGTCCACTGTGCCGAACTGGGCAGAAGCCGGTTCACGCGGAGATCAAGTAGTGTTCAAGTACAATGTCATAGTTTGCAACACTCAACAATTATGACTTTGAAAGTGAAGAATGATCATCGCAGTAAAGTTTCCAATCCAAGCAATTGGAAAGAAGAAGCCTGAAAAAAAAAAAATCAGGGCTTCAACGGAATTCGAACCCGTGACCTCCGCGAATACCAGCTCTACCAACTGAGCTATGAAGCCACACATTGGGAGCGAGGTCAATTAATTAAGTCAATTAATTGACTTAATTGAATCAATTAATTGAGTCAATTAATTGACCTCGCTCCCAATGTGTGGCTTCATAGCTCAGTTGGTAGAGCTGATATTCGCGGAGGTCACGGGTTCGAATCCCGTTGAAGCCCTGATGTTTTTTCAAGCTTCTTCTTTCCAATTGCTTAAATTGGAAAATTTACTGCGATGATCATTCTTCACTTTCA